ATCCTCAAACTCTGGATTTCTTTCGTTTTTGCCCCTTTTTCGTTTATTTCTTCCAATACCACCAATTTGCATTAAGTTCAACCTAGCAAACATAATTAACACATAATTAAGTTATAACCCATCAAATCACTAACAAATACTCTAATTTAATACCATAAATAAATGTACAAACTACACTTATCAGTTTGATTAGCTAAAACTTGAGGATATGAATTTATTTATTTTTTAATTATTTATATGAAATTTTTTAATTCCTTTGTGTTGTTGATTTAATGATTTCAATTAATTTGCCACTAATTGAATTATTAGATGCTTATCAATTTCGGCACTCGGGAGAGAGTAACAATGACATAAACTAAATTATATAGATTTCGAGAAAAAAGTGTAGAATCTATGAAGTTTGTTCCATCTAATAACCACGATCTTGATAAATTTTGATTTTAATTCGGAATAGAGATATGGGATTTAATTTTTAGGATTAATTTTTATCTGGCACTCGAGATAGGGGGTAGAATTATATTAGGGTTTTTACTTATAAACATGAAAAATTGATTAGAGATAACTACGTTTTTGAAAATCATATTTGATAGGTAGATGGAATCATAACCATAGGCTTTATCCCACTGATAAATTCTTAAAACTTGCATTTATTCATTGAATTTGTCACAATGATCCCTAGTTTAGATAAAATATTGATTCAAAAATTCATTCATCTAGATAAAATAGAGGCTAAACAAATATAGTACTTAGCCCTTGTTCGAGACCTATTTTTTCCATCAAAATGTATTCTTGAATATTGATTTGACCACATTTCAATCACATTTTTCAATAAAATATTACACGCAAACTCAAAAATTTTCCTTATTTTTTTAACCACACATTCTCTATCATAACACTATTACAAGATGCATTTTTGAAAAAAAAAAATGGAGCTTAAACAAGGCTTAGTATAAAATTAAATTACAATCCATGTGAGTTCGACACTCTAACTTCATTCATATATTATAAAATTTGATACCGTACACTTGCAGTATATTTACATCACATAAAACGTGTAACATTTGCTCTAAGGATGGTGGATGGTGTTTTACGTGGTGCTGGCGGAGGTGCTGCAATTGGTGGTTCTGGTAGTGGTTGTAGGTGGTGGTGGTTCTGGTGATGGTTTTAGGTAGTGGAGCGTTCCATTGTTGTCGGCGGTGGAGTGGGGTGGGGTTGGATTTTGAGTGATTATAACCATTAAATTGGTTAGTTTGTGACCAATAAGTAATATGTAACCTAAAAAATGAGATTGTGACTAAATTTATAATTGTTGCTCACAATTTGTTAAGTTATGACCAATTAATTTGATCATTTGTGATCGAGAAATAATTTGTGACCAATTAATTTGATAAGTTGTAACTAATAAAATCTATGATTTGTGATTTTAAAAAAATGTGATCTATTAATTTAATAATCTGTGATCGATAAGTAAATTGTAATCTATAAAATTTGTAATTCGTGACGAAAAATAATACGTGACTTATTAATTTGATAGTTTATGACCGAAAAAAGAAAATTGTAACCTATAAAATGTGAAGTGTGGCCGAAAAGTAATGTGACCTATTAATTTGATAATTTTTTATCAAAAAATAAACTATAACCTATAAAATCATTGGATTGTGATAGTGATAGTGATATCTATAATTGTAGCTAGTACGTTACTATAACCTTAATATATTTAATTAATAAAATATTATTTAATTAATAAATTGTAATTATGACCTGATTTTTGAAACTTCAGAATAATTTTCTTAATTTTGAAATTGTGTATTATAACTCGCTTAAATATGAATTTTTCCGTAATTACAAATGTCTGCTCTTAACTGGAAGTCATACAAAGATAAAGACGATGGTACAATACAAGTATATGATTGATCTGAATGCAAAAATATACAACAAAATAAGCTTTGTTCTGAAGTATACATGAAAGACATACAATGAAGAAAACTCATTAACAGAGATTCAGTATGCTAGGAAACAGACATCGCAACTTGAGGGAACCAAATTGCAGCAACTCAATTCAGAACATCAAACAAAGCATCTTAAAATCATCTCCTTGGAGCAATTTTTGCTCTCTCCGTCTTCAGCAAGAAACTTCTACATGATGTTTTCGAAAAGCTCCAAAAAAACCACTGCTCATGTATCTGCTACTTTGGCACAATTCTTAGTTTTGATAAAAGAAACAGTAAGGGGAAAGCAAAGAAAGATGAAAACAGCATATCAAACAAGCA